CTATCCCAGCCGAAACCAGGACAGAGGTGCAAGGAAAATCAATGTTATGTTATACACTTAAAAGTTCAGATTAAGATACTTGATTTTACACGCAGTATTTAATTGAATTTACACTCTATCTAAACATTTTACAGAATGAAAAATGTGTGCTGATAGATTTTTGCCTTCAAGACATCAAGTACCTCTAGTATTAATGTTATTCAAATAGGAAATTTAATTTGAAGATAAGGAAAAAATACAATACATAAAACAAGAGCTGGTAGGATATTAAGAGGCCACACATTTCATTCTTCAGTGACTATGCAGAATCATTTAACTGTATGGCTAGCTTGCTGTAAACATCATGGCCCCACAGTCATCTTACACAATCTGTTTTAGTGCTTAAGGTGGGAAAGTTTTTTCCTAATATCTAACTAAGGGTTCTTTATTACAATTTATTTTATTACATTAAATTCTTCACACATTGGGAGAAATTTCTCTTCTGTCCCATCTGAACATTATTCATAGCCTCCATAAACAGAAACTTTTTTTTTAAATAAGAAGCACATTCTCATCATATAGCCCCTCCCAACAATATGTTAATAATTGAAGTGTAATAATACCATCCTTTTTTTCCCATTTAGAGTCTGATTTATAAAGTTTTAAAATATGGATGCATAAAATCATCACCCATCTGGCTAGCATATAACCTGAATAACTGTCTGGAAAGTAACAGTATTTTACATGTTGGGTTAGTTTAAATTAAAATCTCCATACCTGAGGATGTCACCATACAAGTTTGGCATAACAAGCACATCAAATTGTGATGGATCCTGAACCATCTAGAAAGAAGTATATTTTCATTAAGGTTAAGAATTTAAATTAAAAAATAACCACAATTAAAACATACAAATACTCACATTCAGACACACAGTATCCAGATACATTTCATTAAATTTAATATCTTTACAGTTTTCTGCTGCCTCCCTGCATTTTCTCAAGAAAAGCCCATCAGACATTCTCCTGCAATTTAATAAGCAAGAGAATATTGCAGTTATTTTAAGTAAGCAATAATGAAGATAAAGAAAACTGCATGCAACAGAGGATTAAATAAAAATATTAGAGTGCAGAAACTTAATTTGTGACTAATTATGCCTTATGTTAAATATAAATAATATTTTAAATATCTTACAATCAGAGAAGTTATGCCTATTTCCTCCTAAAATATTTTTGTATCAGTAGTTTAGCGGGCATACATCAATTCTTAGAATTACTCATATTCATTTACTAAAAGCTTACTGAGTTTGTAAAGGTAGTGTCACATAGTATCACACGTTATGACTCAGTTCAGTACAAAGTGGCTTGGAAACTGTAAAAGACACTAGCCATTTTCATCCTCAGTTTTTAAACTCATTTTCCTAGTTTAAGACTATTTTTAAAATAAGACCTTTGCAAGGGAAGTCACAAGATTACTACAAACTTACTAATAAAAACATTAGTACATAATTATTACAGCCCTATGAATACTGAGTCACTATTGCCCATTTTACTTAGGAGGCATTTACTTTACTTATTGCCCATTTTACTTAGTCCCACTAGCATCAACAGACATTATACATCTGAGGAAGATTTTAAAAATTATTTATAATTAAATGCATATTACTATTTGTTGTTCTTCTCAAAAAGAAGTATCAACATACATAATATTTGCCTTGTGCACAGCAGTAACATGGCTTCTCTGATTATTTCTGGCATACTCAAAAGCAAATTCTGCAATACGCTTGCTAGCTTCTTCTGTGATCAGCTTGATACTTTGCACAACACCTTCAACAATCTGAAAGACAGTAGTTGTATTGACAGTAAAAGTGTGAACTCATTTTTCAAGTTACTAGTATCAATGTTTGGAACAAAGTAGTAGGATTCTGAGTGAGGCAGTCTTGACAATGCATTTCACAAAAATAACTTTTTTGTGGGTAGCAAATTTGAAAAACACCACCCAACCTCTTAGTACTAGGCCACTGAGATGGGCAAAGTTATCATTCATGAAACACAGAAAACCCGCCAGAAACGCAACACTTTCAGCAACATACCACATGCTCAATTCCACTGTATTCGCCTTCTGTGTTCTCTCGAATTGTGACAATGTTCACATCTGTATATGGGGTTTTGTACCCTTCAATTGAGACACAGGGACGTACATTTGCATAAAGGTCAAAGGTTTTACGCAGAAGCAGATTCATTGATGGGTGCCCTGCAGCAATTGGGGTCTTTAAAGGCCCTGAGGAAAAAAAAGAAAAAAAAATACAAGAATGAATGGGAAGATAAACCCCTCCATGAATTTCAGAGGTGAAACTCTAGATAAAGTGGTACTCTTACGGAGGATCTCCAAATTCCTATTTAACACGCTGAAATGCCATGGGAATTCTCTGTGCTCTCAAGAGTACTACACAGTGATACTAATTAGCTGTTTAAAAACCAAATTGCGACCCTTACATTGAATAGTTTTTACAAAAGTTTTCACTGAAAACAACATAAAAAGATATTATTCATTAGGAGTATAGTTATCACATACTATTGTATATCAGCTGCATTAGGAATGCATTCTGCATAGAGTCCAAAGGTTGGTATGTAATAGTACCTGCCTTTAACATATTTCCTAGAAGATCTGTGAAAGTTACGGCTTTGAAATGAAGGACAGTTTTAAGATTACAGAAGACTACCTAACAGGCTGTCCCCTATAATTAGCCATTTTATTGTGCTACAGATGAAGGACTTTGGCTTTAAATCAGACTCACAATAAAACCAACAGCATTTAATATCTTTTTATTAACCCCTAAAGTACCTTTTAATCCCATTTTGTTTTTATCCATGGATTCTTTGGCATCTGGAGGTATCATCCACTTCCCTCCTGGTCCTTGGATAGCTGTAACATTCCTCTCTTCCCACTGAATAGGAGCCTAAACACATTTACTCTATGTTAACTTAAATATCATGGCTTTTGTTTCAAACTTTAACTTCCCTTTCACAACAAGGTGCATAAGGAATTTTGTCCAGGCCTTCCTAAAAAATTTTTCTCTGGTGAGTGGCAGTAAGTATGAGATGTTTGAGCTAAAAAATAAACAATTTTTTAAAAATGTAATTAAGTAAGTGAAAATGAAATAGTATGAGCAACATATCATCATAAAGTTGAATACCACAAGATGCCTCCCTAGGCATCATATACACAGAAATCATTAGAATTGCAATATATACGCTACTTCTTTCAAGCTCTTAGAGCTGTTGAGTTCCTTGTATACAAGACACAAGACACTTGAAAACTGAATTCATTGAGAACTCATCATCCGTACTGCCTGGAAGACAGTATATAATGTAGATATATATCTGTTTTCTAACTGAAAATCTGCAAGTGTTCCACAATGCTTTCTGAATTTGCATTCACCACAGGAATCTTCTAAGTGGAGACAGGCTGCCACCCATTCATTTCATCAGGAAGGACCATAAAGGAAAAGATACAAGGGCTTTCAAAAGCAAACAGAACCAATCTAAGCATAACGTACTAGAGAATCGCCTTTAAAACAAACAAATCTGATTAAATATGCACTTACATAAACTTAGGTTTTACTCCTCCACACCACCTGCTTGATTCCCCAGAAACAACCACAACTATTACAAGGTTTTCTTATATAATTAAAGAGAACTTCATTTTTTCCAAATCTAAGTCAGATAGTTGGAATTGAAAAGGAGTACGCCTTGGTCCTGTTACTAATGTGGAACAATTTAACAGGCATCTTTCCTGAAGAGCTGTATTTTCGCTCAAGGAAACTGCACAAATTCTGGTGAAGTTCCTCAGATAGGTGGTAAAACAGTTCTTGGATATACTTATACTTCATATCACTTAAGTGAACGTGTTTGGCAGTGCAGCAGTTTGATTTCTAAGAATAAGCCAGTCCTTTCACGCATACTTTCATCTGCACAATGAACGAAAGAACATCCTCTATCAGTTGCTCAGGATTTCTACATCAACAAGATGATTTCACATGATATATTGAGTTCATATTTCCAAAAATTAAACACAGCATTTGCTCTCAACTCTCTACTCCTCTGCCAGCTAACAGTTTCAAACACTGCCTTCATATTGCAGTCCTATCTTCTATTAGCTGAAGCTTCAGACTCTTTCTATTGTCAAGAAGTTTTAATAGCTTAAACATGACTTGATCTTTTGGAAGCTAAAGAGAAAACATTTTTAATATGCCTAGTTAATACTTGTTGTAGGTAAACTTACAACGCTTACAGCGAGACAAATATGACTTACTTTGGCAGCATCAAAGATCTTCATGACGGCAGCAGAAATCTCAGGTCCTATGCCATCTCCTGGGATTAAAGTTACTGTTTGTACCTAGATAAAGAAATATCAGTAGTACAACAAATGAATGCTTGTTTTCTACATAGAAAACATTTTCATGTGTTGTAGAAACCACGAAACTACTAGAAAAGAAAAGAAAGTTTCAGTTACAAAATATTCACTATGAAGAATAGCAGTATTGGACAGAAGCGAGAATGACTAGCTTGCTTTTAAAGGGAGTGCGCACATGTTTTGAGAGAATTGTTTAAAAATCTGCCTACTATCTATTCCTATTTCAAAACACAGAGGTTTGACCTGAAAGACAGGTTCCTGCTCAGTACTCCTTGAAATGCATGATCTCAGCGTGCTTTCTTCTTGAAATTTGGAGAGGAGATATTACCTAGTTATGGCTCTGTTACCCATATGTCTCCAATATTATCAACAAGCTGCATAATACTGACACATGCTAGAAAAGATTAAATTTATGAAAAGCTACATTCATCTTAAAAAAAAAAAATCTCATGCATATCTAAACTTCTCAAGTGACTTCCTAAAGATCTCAGACCCATTTTTAACAATACCAAGTTATTTTCCTCCCATAATGTTCTCAGTCTTGTTTCTTTTTTCATCATCAAACAGATGCAATATATTGCACAGCCCAGGCTCACTGAATAACAGGGGGAGAAAGTACTCTGCTTTGATAAAATAAATAAATTATGATCACTATTCTAATCGTACGTGCCCCAGCTCTTTTTGTTTTATTTAAAGATTTCCAGCAGTTTTATAAGGGCTTATTATTACCTACAAAAAAGGCAGCTCAGATACCAGCATTATTTGCCAAACCCCAATTAGAATCAACTCACAAGATATGTTTCCATCCTTCTGCACACAAAATATTCAGAATTTCAATATATATTGACTGATTTTTTAACTAATTTGAGCCAAAGAAATTCATTGTGCACAACAAAAGCAGCAGAGCTTCAGATAAAAGAACGCTGCTGTTGAGCGAGCACATAACTGATGGAATGCCTCAAGATTACTTTTGTGCTGTCTTGCGTTGTTGCTTCACAGCACAGCAGGACTCCACCTGAGCCACACAACATTTCTTCTGAAACAGTAATGTGGTATAAACAGAACTGGAGGTGCCTCACCTTCTAAATCTTTTTATACTTTATAAGATATGAGCAACCCTTCAGTTTCTTTTCTAGCTGTTCTACCTGCTGTTCTACAAAACTCATAATTAAAAGCCACAGTTCCTCTTTAAAATTAAGTCCCGCTTAAGGGTGCATGCAGTGGTGCTGAGCCCTGCTTCTGCCTGAGCAGTTTTCAAGGCCACCTTCACCAAAAAAAAAAGGCTCGTGGGCACTTGAAAGACATACACATAAAGAGGTAAAACATCTACAAGGAAATACACAATCAGTGTCTAAAATACTTTAAAGAGGGCCTTGAAAAGGCAGAACTTTATATGCAAGGTATTCTAAAAGCAGCAGTAAAGTAAATCTAGTGCTTAGAGGAGAGTCTGCAAAATAAAGAAAATTAGAAGCTTCTCAACAATCTTTCTACCTTGCCCAATATTTGCCCATTTCCAGATGAGTTTCAGAAGACCGGCTTACGTCCGTATTTTGTGAAAAGTCTTCATGCCACTTCTATCTTTTGCTAGAGCCTTTTGTATTATCACTTATGCTTTCATATGCAGTTGCCAAAGACAGTAATTAACTAATATAAATCCAGCATGGCATTAAGAGCAAATATGTTCACTTATTTAGGTCTTAGTATTTTGAGAACGTAAAAATAACAACAGCAATCTTACAAAAGTAAATTTCTGAACCCCTTTTTTGAGAAACTTCTTAAAAGAAAAAAAATGGTACTATCATACTCACAGCACTACCAAAACTTCTGGTCACCTGTTTTTGGTTTTTGAAAGCACCTAGCAATCGAGAAACCTGGAAGAATATAAAACAAAAAGATGCTATTTTACTACATAAACAGACTTTTTAAAAGTTAACAACTTTGCAGCAAATCTGCATTTTAAAATCCTAGTGCTTTAAATTTCCTATCTCGAACTAGTATAAAAATCCAAATGAAACAAGAGTAACTAACGCTTTGCCAAGTTGCTCTCTAACATTCTGTGCACTAACACCACCTCATGTGGGTATTCTTAGCACAAGGTAAAGCCGGGACAGCCGCTTTGCGGTGCGCCATACTCCCATCTCGCCTGGGGGTGAGGGGAGGTTGCTGCACAATAACCTGAGTCCTTACACACTACACATCTGAAATAAGGTTGCAGTAACTCTAACTAAATAGCTGATATGCTAAGGATTAAGATTTGTGGAAAGCAAAATGAAAAATCAAACACTTTCACTAAAGTTGGGTGGACAGTATCTTTACACATTTTAGGTAATGTTTCCAAAACTACTTTTGCATTAGTGTCACTTCTTCCATTCAAACTGTGGTGAATTTTGTTCTTCCGCCTTTTACATCTGTAGGTTTTGTACTGTTGCCTTCTGCGTGCCTGACAGTTTTTAAAAAGCATAATTGAAACGCACATTAAAGACAAAATTCACCATAGCAACGAGTCTACACAGCATACAGAATACAGAATTACATACACACATACAGAATTACACTTTCTAACATCTGAATATTCCGAACTGGCATTAAGCTTCAAAACTCGGATGATATCTCAGCTTGAGCTCTTGCCTAGCTGAGCACCATGGACAAAATCCCCAAGCCTATCAGTATCGAGAACTTAACTGCAGAAAAATCACCGTCTCCCAATCTTACCCTCCTTTTTAGGATTTTTCATGCCTCCGTGACTTAAGAGTCAGAAGACTTCTAAGTGTAAACAGACTTACGCTACTTCAGTTCTACCATCCTACGTATGCAGTCTGTCTGCAGTTCTCAGGCTAGGCAGGAATGTATTTGACAATTTGTATTTCCCTCCTGTCCAATTTGTATTTGTTATCTCCTATCTTTACTGACATGTATGCTTAAAGGTAGCTGTATGGCAAAAACTACCTTGGCGCTAATAGAACAACTAGAAACAATGTAATCCTCATATATATTGTAATGAGCGCTGTGGGAGAAGTGATTTAAGCTTGAATTTATTTTTACTTGCCACCCAACGTGAGATGTACAAGGTCATTGCAACAGGCAAGCAATGTTTACCATAGCAAGCCATATATTTGAGGCAACAGCTGGAGCAATAAATGAAAAGGTGAATTTGACTGCACAAGTGTAAGTGCCCTCACGGCACAGTTCCTGCATATAGAGACAGGATTCACGCTCCAGAGTAGCTCTGGAAAGGGAGCAGTCTGTCTTGCCAGAAATCATGGGCCTGGCACGTTATACTTAAGTTCAACATCTGTAACACTAGCAGAGAATCAGGCTGAACAAAATTGATCCATTCTAACCTGAAAGTCATGTGTCGTGATTAACTCTTGACAGTTCTTCCATATTTAGCAGATATGTGAAGTGGGGCTTCCTCGATGACTAAGCCTCCAACAGACTATTATTAAAAGGCGCAAAACAAATTTCATTTACTCAAAGCAAAAAGCAGCAGCGTCTCTAGGAATAACGGCTGCGTTTCAGAGTAGTTCAGAGCCAGTAAATCCCAAAGGACAGGTAGCGGGCCAGAAAGCAACCGGACCAAACCCAGTAATGCACCTCTTCCCAGGAGGGCCCCGCAGCGGCGGGTGCCGCGGGCTCCCTTCGGGAAGGACGTTTTTAACCTCGGCAGCGCACCACAGCCCGCACGGGGGGAGCTCCCCGCGGCGC